CCTTTGAATCACAGGGGAGGCGGGATGGGAGAGGAGCAGGCCTGCACTGACCCTTGGGCCTCAAGCACCTTCTGGGTGAGGCCAGCAGGGCAGACTGAGCACCGAGGCAGGAGCAGTGAAGAGGAGGGGGAATCGTGACACCAAGGCCTCCATGGCCTGGGGGCCGAGGGGAGCATGGAGATGGGGGAGAGACGTGAGGCACACTGGTGTGAACAAACAGAAGGCCTTCCTCCAAAGGCTGCCCAGACATCCTGAGGAACGGACTCAGTGGTGAATAGAGCTTTTTTTTTCCATGGTGATGAAATAAGCTCTGACATTTAACATAAGGGACTGCCGTAGACAGCACAGGAAAAAGTCATTTCCCGGCAAAGGGATGATGAGGCTGGCATTTCCGGTCCACGCAGGAAGGTTATTCCCTGTGTAAGGAGTCGGCTGGCTGGTGCGGAGGCTCAGGCCTCCCTGATTGGGAGATCAGAGCCCACACAGGGGTCTTTCTGAGCACACGGCACTGCTTGTCCCTTGCTCGAGGTAGATTCAACCAGGCAGCCCGGGGGTGACCTTCAGAGATTCCTGCCTGGCTCACTACACACACATACACAGAGCCTCGGTACACAGCCATGCTTGCCAGGTGACATCTGGGGTCCCCAACTCTCAGCTCCTGGCCCCGCCCATTCCTGAAAAGGTGTGTCCACTCCTCCAGAGACCTGGAACTCCCTCGGGCTGGTCACCCCTCCCAGCCCCCACCCCAGGGCCTCATGTGAAGGCTGTTTGTGGGGCTTGCCTCCGCTGGAATGGACTCGGCTCAGGGAGGCTGGTGGCTGGACCAGGAGGTTTGTATTTTTCCGATGCCTCCTCAATTGACCTTTAATTACACTGTTTGCCCAGCTCCCCAAACCATTAACTTCCACCTCACAGCAACCGCACGTCAATTAATGGAGGGCCTGCTCCAAGCTCGAGCTCCTGAACACAATTAAGCGTGACAGTCCACAAATAAGAAAGAACTGGAGAATTAATTAAGGTCTAAACAAATTAATTACCAGTCTCCAATCGATTCTGATGCCAGCGCACACCGTCTTTCCTAACATGTCCATGTATAAATAGAAACTGCGATTTCCCACATGATTGCTGCTCTAGACCAGGGCACAGCAAGGCTCTGAGACTATGGCGAGGGAGAGGGGCTGCAGTCAGTGTCCCTGGGGCTCTCTGCGTCCTCCACCCCCTCCCATGCACACGACCCCGGCTGAAAAGCCAGGGGCAAACCTGGAGGCGCTCCTGGGCGGACACTGGGCAGCCCCGGCCGCGCCTGGACCACATCCCTCAGGTTCTGTCTACAGAAGGGACGGGTTATTCCAGCGGCCTTGAAGGAGCCCTGGGCTCCACCTTCACGGCCCAGGCTTTGGCCAGCTCAGAGTAGCTTTCAGTGGGTGTGACTTTGTTTCTTCTTCTGTAAAAGAGGATGGCTCCCCCTGCCTTAGGGTCCTCCCAGAGAGACAAGGAGGAGAGCGGAGGGGAAGAGAGGCCCGCTGGGGAGAATGAGGAGCACTGTGGAGCCCTGGGCATACTGGGCTCTGCAAACCCTGCAGAGGCCTGTGGTGATCGTCCCAGAGGTCCCAGCAGAAAACGGATGAAACAGGGCCCGGTCCGAGGCCAGAGATGGGCAGGAGTGGCAGAATTGGGTGTAAGAACCAGGGGTCCCGTGCCAGGAGTCTCAGGCCTCTCTCTATGGCAGCGTGTGGGGGCCCAGGGCAGAGAGGTGTCCTCCCGCCTCTCAGACCTCAGGCTAGAGCAGGAGCCCAGGGAGAGGCTGGGCAGAGCAGTGGGGAGAAGCAACTGAGTCCTGGGAGCCTCCCAGCTTCCCAGCCTGTCCAGGAGGGACAGGGTGGGGATGTGGCCTCTGAGCACCGTGCACACAAGCCCCTTGAGGACTCTCCCCAACACTAAAGATCCCCTTCTGCTCCATCCTCTTACAAACACATCCCAATAACCAGAGCTCAGTGAGATCACTTCTCATGTGTACTCTCAGCTCGGTGAGTCTGGTCTCCCTAACGCAGCAGGGTTCCTAAGGGGCAAAGAATGTTCTACAAGGCAAAGCAAGTCCTGAGCAAGCTTCTTGGTATTCTTAATGGTGGTCTGGCCCAGCCTGCCATGGAGAGCCTGGTGGGACCAGCATGCAGTGGGGCTTCGAGATGCTCTGACCTGGTCAGAGGCCCCTAGGGAGAAGGTGGAGAAAGGCCAAGTGCAAGATGGTTGGCCTGAGAGGACCAAGGGACTTTTGAGCCCCTGAGGAGTGACGGGCACGCCTATTTATCTTGTCCACCACTGTGTCAGCAATGACAGGGGAGCCAGCAAGTGCCCGCCAGCAGATGGGCCTGGGAGGAACACTGGGGGCCAGAGTTGTGGAAGCTTGAATGTGGGGGAGGAAAGGCTGGGGCAGAGGGTAGGAGGTAGGCACACAGCCAGGACTTGGGCAGGGGGCATGAGGAAGCAGCCAGAAAGGGTCTGATTCTCTCAGGATCTTGGCAAGCTAGGATGACAGGGCTGCAAACCACACTGAGGACAACCTGTACAACTGGCTAGGGACAGACAGGAACGCAAGGCCCCTCACTGGTGGCTGGACTTGTGTGAGGGGGCTGCAGGCCTCGATAAGAAGGCAGGAGAGGAGACAAGCTGGGGCCCAAAGAGCGACAGGCCAGCAAGTCTCAGGTGGGGATGCCGAAAGGGTCAAACCCGAAAGCAGGGACCCTTCTGCTGAAGGAGCCTCACAGTGGTTAAGACCACCCCCAAGGTCACGGGGCAAGATGGCCAGTAGAGCAGGGCTGGCATGGGCCCTGGCGAAGTCCTTGCCTGAAGCTTGGCTCAAGGACAGATTACATCTCAGCTGAGTCCCAGATCCAGTCCAGTGCAGCTGAAAGCTGCCCCCTTCTCAGGCTGCACCTAACCCTCCAGCCCAGGATGGCAAGGACCACAAGAATGGCAGCCGTGTTCACTTAATTAGGCCCCTTAACAAAGTCAGATCTAAAGAGTTATTCCATTAATGGCCCACAGCAGAAATAGCTGAGAGTTCATTAAAAGTGTGGAGTTGCTATAGCAATTATCTGGGTCGGCTGAGGCTCATTGAGCAGGTTAGTCCTGGGAGTTCATTAGCCTCTGGACAATCGAGGAGGTGGGGCTGCCCAGGAATGATCTCTGGGGAGCTTTTCAGGCGCTTCAAAGCACTTTCCTATGAATGAAATCTGGTCTGTGGTCTCATTTGATCCTCCCAAAGCTCTGGGCTGTAGGAAGGTGTGCACTGGTGCCCCATTTTACAGATGGGAAAGCTGAGCCCTGGAGGGGAAGAACAGGGTCTGAACCATGAACTTGGATCTGACTCCCAGCTCTTCAGACTGAGCCTTCGCACCAAGGAGGTCACAGGACCCCATGCCCCTCATGGGCTGGCCCCCATGTCTGTCCCCTGGCCTCAGATGAGAGAAACTCAATGTCATGGTTCAAAGACTGGCTTATACTCTTTTGCTTACTAATCATGGACTACCTCATTTTCCTTTCGATGTTGTTTATTTCATTTTAATTTTTAAAAATACTTTCCACTGTGGTGTCCTCTTCCCAAACAAGGAGTGGACTTCTTTTTATTTATTTATTTACTTATTTATTTATCCTCACCCGAAGATATGTCTATTGATTTTGGAAAGAGAGGAAGTGACAGGGGGAGGGGGGATTGATGTGAGAAAGAAACATCCATCAGTTGCCTCCTGTACGCACCCCGAACAGGGATTGAACCCATAACCCAGGTGTGTGCCTAACTAGGGATCGAACCTGCAACTTTTTGGTGCACAGGAGAACACTCCAACCAACTGAGCCTCCCGGCCAGGGCAAAGCTGGGCTTTATGGGATCCCCGGGTCCAGAGCTGGGGCATCTGTTGTGAGCCCGGGGACTCTGGGACCAGCAGGGACTTGGCTGAAGGCAGGCGAGATCCCCTCCACACGTACCTGTGCACTCACAATTACCTGGATGTGCGTGGAGCCTCCAAAACCTAAAGGGCCCACTATATCCCAGGGCCTGGAACACTAGGCTCGTGGGAGCTTTGACCCTTCTCTTGTGTCAGGAACCCCCGGGGCAGCCTGGTGAGACCTATGCACCCCTCTCCGAATTATGTCCCTAAATGCATGAGACAAAATACATGGGATTACAAAGGAATTATATTGAAATAAGTTATCAAAATGTTTTTTAAATTGTGATAAAGTAATAGATCTGCTTTTTAACTAATGAATTAAAAAACAAGATCTACCAGTGGATCTGTTAAATGTAATTTTGATTTGGTATTAATTTTGAATAATATTTTAAATTTTTTTTTCTTTTATTGATTCTAGAAAGAGGGAAGGGGAGGGAGGAAGAAAAGGAGAGAAACACCAATGTGAGAGAGAAACATTGATCAGTTGTTTGTTGCACGTGCCTCAAATGGGGACCGAACCTGCAACTCTGGCATGTGCCTTGACCACGAATTGAACCAGCAACCTTTGTTTGCAGGATGATGCCCAACCAACTGAGCCACATCAGACGGGGCTTTGAATAATATTTTAAGATCTCTGTAACAACTGTAGTGGGACATGAAAATGTCTGTGATTTCTATTGGTGACAGTCACAGAACCTGCTCGTTACTGTGGTTTGCTGCCTACATGCATAATGAAAAGAAATGCTAAATTTCAGTTAGAGGTTAGTATAAATTTTCCCCAAGTTCACAAGATCCAGCCTCCTATCTGCTGACACCTCGGAGGTCTGGGTCCCAGTTAAGAATCCCCGTGTAGAATTTTGGGCACAGAGCTAGTTAGTGGAGCCATCATCTTTTTTTTCTTTCTACACAGGTTTTGTTCCAGTTGTCCCTGCCAATAAACAACCTGCAGCCCTCTGTCAGGAGAGTGCAGAGGAGCTGTCCAGCTCCCCGGGAGCCCCAAAGCCCCACACACCCACACGCACACACGCAGGTGCTTGGCACCATGCAGCTTACCTACGGCGGGGAAGGGCACAAATCTCTGGACGAGAAGGCGGGTGGCCGGGGTGAACTTGTTGGCTTTCTGAACCAGGACATTAAGGCCCACCTTGGAAAGAGAAAACAGAAAGCTGCATGGTGCTACAGACCACCTGTGGGAGGAAGGGGCCGATGGAGGCAAGGACAGAGAGGCAGGGGCGCCGTCTTCCCCTGTAGTTGTACCCCTAGATGGTAGGGCTCCAGTGTGGCTATTTAAAGCGCCACTGCCCAGTCATTCCAGTTCACCAGCTCCTAAGAAAGGGAGAGAGGTAAGGCACCAGTTTTGTGTGCGCAAACACACACGTGGCCTCTCTGGGGAAGGGAAAAGTGATGGTGAGGTGGTCGCTGCTGCAAATAACTGTAGTGCAGGACCCCTCATTCCCACCCCAGTCTCTAAGCCCCGCCTTTCTGAGGCTCCACTGTGAGCCCAGGCACGGGCCTGGCCAGACCACGAGGAGAGTGAGATCCCAGCACCTGCCCACAGGCGCCTGCAGAGCTAAGGAGAGCAGCTCAGAGCAGGACAGGGGCCAGGAGGGGGTGCAGTGGACATCCTGGGCTCACGGGTCATCTGCACTCAGACCCCAGCTCCCCTCCCCCAGCCCAGGACATCCGAGCCCCCTCGCCATGGCCTTGGGCTCCCCCCTCCAGTTCATCCCCATGCTGTCCTCTGTCTCTCTAGGACACAGGTCCAATCACATTCGCCACACCAGCTCCTCCTTGTGATCTGTGTGAGAAGGTATAATCTCCTATGTGCAGTAGTCTTGGCCTCTATAACTTCAATACCCCACTCCCCAAAACCCACGTTCTCCTCTGCATCCGGTTTACTGCTCGTCATACGCTACACGAGCTTTCCGGCCTCGGCGCCTTTGCCCAGGCTGGTCCTTAAGGCAGGGAGGCCCTCCTTCCTCTATGCAGTCCACACCTGTTCATTTAAAGCCCACCTCTGAGCTCCACCTCCAGTGTCACTTACTAACAATGGGACTCACTGAACCTTCTAGTCATGAAGTCTTCTTACCTTAGTCTCAGTTTCCTTATCTGTAAAAAGGGAAAGCATCGACAGCATCCCAGGGCTGTTCTAAGAATGTATGTAAGCGTTTAGCAGAGGAGGCTTCAAAAAATTAGGGTATTTAAGAACTACGTGGCCTCTCCCTGGCAGAAAGTCCCTCCCCTGCGCATCAGAAGCCCCTCCTTCCCAGCACTCAGTACAGCCACTCACGGGTGCGATGTCCGCCCCCAAGACAGGGAGAGAGGGAGGGACCGTGTATTTTTCACCTGTGTATGCCCAGCACTCAGGGCAGTGGATGGAACGTAAACACATGAACCAACAAAGAGATGAACGGATGGAGAGATCAGCAAAGGCTGGAAAGGGGGAAGGCTCGTTGGAGGAGGGGAAGTGGGAGTAGTTTAGACCGAGGAAAAGGACCTTTGGGTGAGGAAAATGGCATGAGCACAGGCATGGACAGGAAAAAGCAAGATGCATGTGTCCAGACCAGAAGACAGGTGTATGTGTAGAGGCCTCTGCTCCCCTAAGTGAGGCCGGAGCCAGCCCCTGCCCTGTAGATTATTCCTGGCCAGAGGGGACCTGGGGCTGCCGGCTCTGGTCTGGCACACCTGTTGGCTCAACAGACCACCTGCACCCGCAGCCCTGGCTCTGGCTTCGATCTTCATTGAGGAAGATGCAGACCCTTGGGAAGGCCTCCAGGGCTGCTGGGTGGCTGCCGCAGTCAAAGCAGGGAGCAGCAGAAATGGCCCGGTGACCCAGGAAGACAGAAGTGCCAGCCAGCCCCTGCATAGCCCAGGGCCCCACAGGGCCAGACGGCTGCCAGGCAAAAACCCAGCCTGGGCTCTTGGGTGCCTGGCCTCCCTTTGAAGCCTCAAGCTAATGCTCAGAGTCCAATCCCTGTCCTTTCTGCTGGTTCAAGGAAAGGCTGTGGGACAGGGACATGCATGGCCGCATGGGCACATTTCAGTGGTATTGCAGGGAAGGCTGGGGAGCTGCCAGCCTGCACTGGGCCCTGATAGTCTGCTCCAAGCCTCCCCGGCCACGGAACTCATCAACTGCATGTCTCCCAGCTCTCAGTAGTGGGTGACTGTGTATTTTGTGACTCTGAAGTGATCCCCCCACGTCCCCCAAAATACCAGGGAACATGTTCCTACAAAGTGCAGAGAGGGAAAGTGTGGAAGGGCATAGGGAGATGCCAGGCCCTGCACAGCACATGAAATATCTTAATTAAACCCCAAACACAAGGCTTTTACAATAGATAGGGCATTACCCCTTCTTACAGATGCATAGAAGTTCACACAGGTTCAGAGAGGTTAAGTAACTTTGTCCAAGGACAGACAGCTATTATGAGGCAGGTAAAGCTAGGATTGAACCCAGTACTGCAAGCTTTGTTCTTAACCACTGTGCTATTTACTTTCCAATTGTCTTTCATCTCAATGAGGAGTGCTTTAATGTCTGACATGCCATTTAAAACAGGCTGTTTGCATAGCAAAAGCCTCCCTGAAAAGACCAGCTTGGGGCTGGGGCCCAGGGAGAGGAGAGGAGAGGGGAAGGCAGCTCCAGTCAGGGAAGACAGAGCCCTTGAACCACCTGCCAACCAGAAATCAGGTCTGGGTTCAAAACCCCCCACATCATTTGGAAATGCAGCGAGGAGAGGGGAGCAGGAGCCCTCCGAGATGCCAGCCGGGAGCTCAGACCCTTCCCCTGGCAGTCTCTTGAGGGCCGGCAGGGCTGGAGTGTGGCCATAGGGCAAGGAGGATAGCGGCCTCCGGTCCAGTTAACACTCAGACTTGCCCCCACCCTCAGGTCTTCCCCTCCTGGCCAGTATGGCAGAGAGTGACTACCCCAGCCAGTCTCCTGCACCCCACGTGGGAACCCAGGGTAGGGAGGAGGAAAGGAGAGAAAACCGTGCCGGGGTCCCAGGTCCCTTTCAACCTCCCCTTCCCTGAAGCCCACTGCAGTCTCCCCAACACAGCCAGGGTGAGATTTAGTTACTAAGGCACAAACACATTTCTGAGTACATGGCCAACACACCCAGGGAAGAGGCTGGGGACCAGCAAAGTGGGGAGAAGGTCTGGGCTCCTGCGCAGCCCACCCACCAATAATGGCCCGGTGACAGAACGGCATGAATACAGGGAAGGCAAGTGGCTGCTCGCCCCTCTCCTCCCAGAGCCCCCAACCCAGGCCTTACTGTCCCAGCAGCTAGGAGGCTGCAGCCCGGGAAGGAACCAGGGTGGGCTGCAGACCAGGGGTTGGGAGCCCGTCTGTTCTGGTTCCTCAGGGGCCCTTTGGCCTGGAACATTTGGTGGAGCCCATTAAAATTAAAAAGCCAAGTGCCTGGTGGCTCTGAATGCCAGCTCGTTTTCCCTGGCATGGTGGGTCCTGTTTAAGGGAACCAGCTGGCATTAATGGCACACAACTCATCACGAACAGCAGCTAGCGATCAGAAAAATCTGAGCTAATAATCAGGTTTGGGAAAGATAATGAGATATGGAACAATCACTGCTGAGGGTCCCCTAGGGTCTGTTTTAACAGCCTCCAAATAAGCCACAAAATAAAAATTAACCAAACAGGGGCTCCATTTGGGTGGAGGGGAAAACAAACAGGGTGTGGATTTTGCAAAAGAATTCCCATGTGGTCAGCAGATGGGGGTCTTGGGAGAAGCCAGAGCCCAGGACATCAGCAAAGGCCTGAGGAAGCAGTGGACCTTCTCTGGCCACTTCCCTCCAAGCTCTGGCTCCAGGGCTGGTGAATTTGCCATGCGCAGCTGATGGGAGCAGAGGATGTGGAAGGGAAGCCTGGCTTCCCGACAATCCCTCACAGTGGGGAGGGCGTTGACCAGCACCAAGAACGGGGTGGGGGGCGGGGAACTCCATGACACAAGACCTCCAGTGTCATGAGCTATGTGGCTGATAGCTGTCTCCTTAAGTATCAAGGTCTTGCCCAGGCCAACCGCAGCCTAACTTCTGCAAGGCCAGCAAGGGGACACCAGATGGGGCCTGAGCAATGCACGCAGCCGTCTCCCACCCAGGCTGTATCCTCTCCTCCAGCCCATACATCCAATGCCCTGCAGAGGCCTCTGTTTCAAGGGCCTTCAGGCATTCCACCTCCCCACAACCCGGACGAAGGTTATCGTGCTCTTCCTCATCCACGCTCAGTTCCTGTCCGTTCCCGGCTCACTGCTTATGCTGGAGACCCAGGAGTCTTCCCCAAGAGGGCCTCTCCCATCCCACATCCAGCCCATCCTGCAGAACTACCTGTGCCATTTCCTAAATAACTTGCACGTGGCTACTCTCTCTCTGCTCCCACCATGTAGTTTAAGCACCAGTCTCTTCTCCCCGTATGACTGTCCACTTATTAGCTCAGCTCCCTGCTTCCACCCTTGCTCCCCGCTCCAATCCACTCTCTACACAGCAGCCAGAGTGATCTCCTAAAAATGGATGTGAACTTGCTCTAGCCTTTCAGTGGCTTCTCACTGAGCTTAGATCTTGTGTGACCGCCTGGCCTTGCTCACAAGGCTCCGGCCACCTCACCAACGCCCGCTCCTCTGACGAGCCAGTTCTCTTGTTTTCTCTCCCTCCCTCCCTGCGCCCTCCCATCTCTCTCTCCCCAAGGCCTCCAAGCCCTGCCCCTCCCTTGGGCTCCTCACCTTTCAGCTTGAATGCCTCGGAGGAGGCCCCCTCTTCACACAGGCTCCCCCTTTAAAGCGTCCCACAGAACCTGGGCCTCTTCCTTCTCTGTACCTATCATGGTCTCTAAGTATGTATTTATTTAGCATCTTAAAATGTTGTAAATCAAAGTAATACCTGTATATGATTTTAAAACGGAATTTCACAGAAACATTGTTTACCTGTGGACTCGTTACTAAACATCCATGTCTCCCAACAGGCCCCAAGCACTGGCTTCAGAGCCTTTGTCTCTCATTCCTCACTGAATTCCTGTTGCCTGGTGCAATGAGTAGGTGCTTAATAAGCATTCCTAGAATAAATCAAGGGGCCGATTTCTGAAACAGGAGGAAAAAACCAAAGAGCCACAAGGAGACCGGCCCTGCGCAGTCGCAGCTGCCC